ATTATACTCACATTATACACAGATTATACTTACATTATACACAGATTATACACGATTACACTCACATTATACACAGATTATACTCACATTATACACAGATTANATACTCACATTATACTCAGATTATACACAGATTATACTCACATTATACACAGATTATACACAGATTAACTAGTAAAATCACTCGTTTACTCAGTCTGCCCAAATTAAACTGGAATAAATCGGAGCAGATCCGTAGAATTGGAACCAGACAAATAAAGTGAAGTGAATAGAAGCTACTCACAGGAACCAATCAACTGCAATGATGAGAGTGATGTCATCAGTAGGAAGTCCGACCGAGGTCAGGACGATCACCATGGTAACCAGACCAGCCTGAGGGATCCCTGCAGCTCCGATGCTGGCTGCAGTGGCTGTAATACTACAAACAGCCTCTGTTACCATCAGAGTTTAATTACATGTTTATTACAGGTTAATTACTCTTTGTTTACCTGATGGTGATGATCTGACCAAAGTTCATCTCCACATTGTTCACCTGGGCGATGAAGATGGCTGCYAGCGCCTCGTACAGAGCCGTCCCGTCCATGTTGATGGTGGCGCCGACCGGCAGCACAAACCGTGTGATCCTCTTATCAATCCGGTTGTTCTCCTCCAAACATTTGAAGGTGACTGGAAGTGTTGCAGAACTAACAGGAACAAAGGGAAACAGTAAGTGTTATAGAACTGATGGGAACACAGACAAACAGGAAGTGTTACAGAACTGATGGGAACACAGAGAAACAGGAAGTGATGCAGAACTGATACATGATGGGAACACAGAGAAACAGAAAGTGTTACAGAACTGATGGGAACACAGAGAAACAGAAAGTGTTACAGAACTGATGGGAACACAGAGAAACAGAAAGTGTTACAGAACTGATGGGAACACAGAGAAACAGGAGTTTCAGAACTGAAACATGATTGGAAGATCATGACCATAGTCTGACCATATATGACCTTCCACACCTAAGTCTTGCTGCCATCTTGTTTTTAGAAAGAAGAGGCCACAACCTTTGACCTCTAACCTGCTGATTGAGGTTGTCTTGTTGTCTTGACTCACCTGGAGGAGGTCCCTAAGGCCGTCACCAGAGCCTGCAGGAGTCCGGTGATGAAGATGAAGGGGTTCTGTCGAGTGATGACGAAGTAAAGAGTGGGCAGAATGACGACACCATGAATCAACAGTCCAATGATGACTGTGATGGTGTACATGCCCAGTTGACCCCCCATCTGAGTCAGATCATCCATCTCCACAATCTTTCCTGCAATCAGGAACAGGATTCCAATCGGAGCGTACCTGCAAACAAAGACTCATCAGCTGGTGGGTGGGATCCTAACAGGTGTTGACAACTGTCAACAGGTAAATCAGGACTTTTACCACATGATGATGGCAACCAGCTGCATGATGGCTTCATTCAGGCTGTCGAAGAACTCTCTGAGGAGCTGACCCTGCTCCTTCATGTTGCCAATTATTAGACCAAAACACATGGAGAAGACCACCAACCCGAGGGCGTTGAGCCCGTTCACCTGACCTGGAACCGGGATCACTTCCTCTCTGGTGATCTCCATGACTTCCTGGGTGCCGTTGGTGGAGTTGAAGAGGGATTCGTTCACCGTGATCGTCACGTGGACCGCTCGTTTCCCGTATTTAGTTTTAAACTGGGGAAACAAAAGAAGTTTGAATTACCAGACGAGTTTAAAGGCAGGTGGTGCTGGTTGGTTGAATGATTGGTTGGTTGTTCGATTGATTGATTGATTGATTGATTGATTGATTGATTGATTGATTGATTGATTAGTTATTTGATTGATTAGTTATTTGATTGATTGGTTAATTGGCTATTTGGTTGGTTGATCAGTTGATTGAATTATTAGTTTTTTGTTTAATTAGTTGGTTTGTTGATCGATTTATTGAATTATTGGCTTTTAGTTTAATTGGTTGGCCTATAGATTGATTGATTGACTGGTTAATTAGTTATTTGATTGATTGATTGATTGATTGATTGATTGATTGATTGATTGATTGATTAGTTATTTGATTGATTGGTTAATTG